GAAGAATAACACTCTGATTGAAAAGTCAGGGAATGCCCATTAGTGTATATGAATTGGCAGCATAATCAAAATGTAAGCACAAGAAAGAGAGAAAAAAAGCATTACATGCATCTATTCTCAAAAAACTTTAAAACGTTATGGGTAATCTTTTTCACTTCTTGAGTATCATGCATACCTGGACAGATTGTGCAACTTCTGGGGCAATTGATCACCATGAACTTTGGATTTTTTTTGCATTCACCGCTCAATGCCCAGGATTTACAACGTTTGTTTTTATCCTTGCAAGCTGACGGAAAAAAAGTAAGGCAATGAAGACATAAACTCACTCCTAAAGAATTCCGTGAGTCAGATTTCTTTAACATGTCCTTTTGAATAATATTTCCTTGCTTCTTTTGGAAAAAATCAATATGGCAGTCTTTCGTTAGGAAAGCAACGATTTTACTAGTCTTTCTTCTTTGTTCGTTTACCTCTCCCTTCACTTACTATCAGCAATAGATTCAAATCCCTTGCTATCAGTCAGGGCCTTAGTTAGAGTGTTCTACTTCAAGCATAATTTTGAGTTTAACAGCGAGAAAAAATAATCAAGCATCTAGCATAAAAAAAAAAGGACAAAACTGAAAAAGCAAACAAAAAGTAATAAAGAATGAAAACGAGGCCAGGCCTGGTTACAAAGAAGCCAAAAAAATGGCTTCCAGCAGTTCTAGAAGTTCTCATATTGATTGTAATGCAACACAAAAGTGATGCTAACTGAGCGTAATCGTGACATTTTCTGAACATTAAGAATTCACTAAATAGTGTAACATATCGAGCATAATGTGGCGAACCCTAGCCTTGGATCCGAGCTGACTATAGTTTCCTACATCACGCCCCACCACTCTCCAATGTAGAAAGTTTTCATGAGGGGAGGAGCTGTAACCAACCAACTCCAGCTCACAATCTCTCCTCCTTCGCATTCAGAGTCACTTGAAAGAATTTTGAGCTTCGTTCTGCACTTACCAGCCGCCACAGACAATGCACAGCTCACGAAAATCAACAAAATGACCAAGTTTCTCATGTTTAGCAAATATCTACTGAGAGACAAAAATGAGGTAGAATTGATAATTTTATCCCATTCAAACATAACGTTACGTCCGTTGATCGGGTTTTGGTTAAATCAACCATAAGTAATGGTGGTAGAACTGAGTGGAAGCCCAATTAATTAGTTCTGTAATCATAGGAGTGATAAAGGAAATGAACGACTTAGTAAAGCGGTAACGGGCGTGGATGACAAAGGAAGTGAATTCATCAAGTTCAGATAATCTTTAAATTCTCAAAATAAAACCCCGTTTTTCTTAGGGCAGATTTTTTTCTAAGAGTTTTCCTCGCAGTTTCTCCGAGGATCATGTGGTAAAGGTTTTATATGCGAAAGAGGGTGAAGATCAGGATTTTTGAAACGACAAGATCGATGACTGTTTGGAACTGTTACTGGTATATTAGGAAACCTACTAGTCCTGCCAGAGCGCCATGCCCCACTAAATGATAACGATTACTGATCGACTCTAACCAACACAAAAATTTTGGACCAGAAACAACCTCATAAAGGTTTTTTATTGCTAAGTTTTGAGAGAATTGGCTCGAACTGACTTTTATTTTTTGGCTCGAAAGGAGCAGTTCTTTGATATTTTGCCTCTGTGCTTCTGTGATGAACGATCGGTTATAAGAGAAACTGTACATACCGTGAATCTTCTTGAAGTTTCAACGATTCCAGAAGTCTGAATTCACGCAGTTTGGAACCTGTGGAGAATGGGCGTGAACGTATATAAGTTTTCAACCGTGTTTCATAAAGAACGAGGAAGTTATTGTGCAAAAGATTGTCTTTCGTCATCTTAGGCAGAGACTTAGCATTAGTGGTCTCCGTTCTTTTAAACTTGAATCAGCTTAGCATTCTAAGACGATCCATAACCTACCTTGGTTGTGTTCTGACTCAGTTCTCCGGGAAGGACACTTCTATAAACGATTGTCGTTTTGCCGTTGATTTTTTATACAAACCAAAACCAGTATACACTGTCAATCAAGCATATTCCCAAGAGGTTCTGTAAGAGAAGTCATGAGATCAATATATTCTTTTAAAAAAAAGGCGTTTTTTTAAAAAAAATTGATAACAAGACTGTTGAAGACGGAAATTGATTAAAACCACGAAGGAATTAGTTCGGGGAAAAATACAACTCAGATATCTGTGAAACATGGGTAATTTTTCAGCAAAAAGTGCGATGGTTGGTTTACTTAGAGTTACTGAACAAATGTAGTAATAGTAATTAAATATACTTAATTTCTATGCTTTTGCCTCATCTGGTCTCGTATTACATTGCAATATTTATCAACCTATCAAAATTGATATCTGTGCTTTAGCATGTCTTATATTCAATTTCTGATACATATTATTTACCAGGGGGGTGGGTGGGAGTCTTTATGGTCTCCAGTGAGGATAGAACAAGGCCGAAAGCTGAATGCGGCAGTTTTTCCCATGCAGACTAACATACACCAATGAATAACTTTTTTTTCGGGCTAGTTTGCTTTCTTTGCTTTGCTGCGTGTGTCGTGTAAAATTCCAGACCGTGGTCCCTATTGTAAAAAGATAGATTGTTTACGAGCGCGTGATTAGCCGATAAGTTTCGAGGATTGAAGATTCCGGCCCTCAAAGATGCTTAAAAATAGCTCCCATGTTGTTGTGCGTCTGCAATCAATTTGTTATTCAATTAGTACTTAGATTATTTCTCACAGGTAGAATTTCGGTCGGGCACCTTTTTCATATTGTGATCGTGAAATTGACATGGAGACAGATGTTTTTACGTAAACTACAAGTTCCGGCTAAAAATTGGAATATTTCCATGTTGCGAAAAGATGTTTATTTACGAAGAAAATGACCTTAACTTATAAAGAATTGATCCTGCACAGGAATTTCCTGACAATGACCCTTCTCACATTTTTAACCTCTTTGATATTCTCGTTTTTTAGGTTAAATCCATGTTGAATTCCCGATCAACAAATTAGTTCTTAAATTTTACTATAACATAGCTAGTAAGTTTGTCTAATCAAAGTCAATTGCGTGAGCGTGCTTCATATTTCTTTTGTGCACGCTCATGACGTTAGCAAACAAATCCCTTGAGGAAAAAAATTTGAAAATGTTATAAAACAATTGATTCATACGTCAACTGTGCGTTCATCGGGATATGAAGCACTTGGGAGGTTTGGAGAGCACTCAAGAAGCGGGAGTTTCTCTCGGCTACGCTTCAAGCAACTCTTACGCATCTTTCGTGCTCTCAAACTTCCCGCGTGCTTCATATCTCGATGAACGCACGCTGACGTATGAACCA